AAGTCCCGCTGACCCTCCAAGTATCATGTACCTGGTGCACTTGCATGGGTATATGCGGGAGCTTGCAAGAATCCAATCTAGGCTTCAAAGTAGTAGGATGCTTGTCATAGGCGCCCCCACTAACGGACCCATTATTTATGGACCCCAACGTGGTTTGAGGCTTCCGGTCCCTGCCACGTAGCTTGGGGTGTAAAGCCAATAGCGCGCCATCTCCGCGGGTAACTTAAGCAGGCTGCAGACCGCACGGCTTGCGGGTTAAGGGCTGAGGGTTAGAGGTGTAGTCTTTGGGTTTGAGGGTTTAGGGTTTAGGTGGTTATGGGTTTAGGATTTGGGGTTTACGTGTATAACCCTAAACCCCAAACCCTAAACCAGGGTTAGGGGCTTTTGGTTTGGTCCTTGCCTTGGGGTCGAGGGTAGTGGTTACTTGGTTACGTGGTCCACGAGGCTCGACTCTTCAACCCAAACCCGGGTCCCTGGAAGCGTCCAGCGTCAATCCCCCTATGCCCTAAGCCTTGGCTACTGCCCCCACCCTCTGAGAGTTACACGTGGGACCCTTATGGTAAGGGCTATAGTAGTACTACACCTACAATATTTGGGGGCAGTTCTTGAGGGGGGCCAGGAAGCCTAAACCCTACACCTTAGGCAATCTGACGTTTGAGCCTGATTGCTACACCTCTCAGCCTTGCAAGTTCGCCTTAGATAACACGGGGACCTGAACTCTCAACTCTAAGCCCCAAACCCTGTATAAGCTGTAGTCTAAGCTCCTTGAAGGGGGTCTTGTGAGGGATTATATATGGGAGTAGATATAAGAGTTCCTCAGCGGGATACTAGGAGTTCTTTTAGACTTTAGCTCATGTGCTTAGATCCCAAAGACACACAATGAGACAGCCAGATCCTTTCTGATATGACAAGCCAGGATTTCGGTCGCCGAAGGATTTACAGTGAGTGGGGTTGGATTTAGGGTTTATGGTTCCCCTTAAGTAGATAGAATATGGGGTATATGGGGATCTTATTATAATGTACCCAAAGCCATATTCTATCTACTTAAGGGGGACTAGGCTCATTTTTTGAGAATCATCGTCTGGGGTCCAGGTTTCAAGGCATTAGTATCCCACGATGAGGGAGCAATTGGCCCCCTATCAGGGGGATACGTAGAACCTTCTGCGATTCCACAAAACAGGAGCGACGACATTGGCTGAAATAGCTAAATAGGTTAGAAGGCTCCAAATGCGTCTACGATTTGCAAGAACAGTCTTATTGTCCAAGCTTGCGCTACATATGTGTTGGTAAACCGAGCCCCAGGGCAAAATGGAGACCAAACATCGGAAGGCTGAATTTCAAACCCTTTACCAAACCCTACTCCCTAAATACCACGAATCCCAAACCCTACACCCGGTAAACCCTAAAACCCTGTAAACCCTAACCCTAAATCCTCTAAGCCTATAAGCCCTAAACCCCGGTTTCTAAACCCTAAATCCTCCAAAGCCATAAAGAAACATTGCCGGCTGTGAGGAAGGGCTCCAATGAAAGCAGCAGCAGCCAGGAGCCGCTACTTCAAGAGGGTTTAGGGATTAGGGTTTAGGGTTTTGTCTGAACAGCATGCGATGGCCTCCGGACAACACTCTCCATCTCGCAGGTTGACATGACAAAATGTAGATAGGAGCTTTCAAGATTATTCCGTCTCTTCTTATGAAACCTTGCCCCGTGCGAACATGTATAGTGCTTGTTTACAACTGTCAAGCTTAATGTGTGAGGTCTGAAGCTTCAGGACAAGATGTGAGGGCTTAGAAGGCGTCAAAGTTCAATTGGCCGGATTTAGGGTATGGCATGGCTTTTTGGTTCGGGTTGGAATTACAGGACTGGAAGAAGAATGCACCATCGAAATGCCCCGGTTTTGGGTAGAAACACAAGATTTGCTTATGGATCTGTGCACCTTGCTCCTTGCGTCCTCTGGTGCTCTCAACCTTAAGCACACAAACGCTTAAACTCCAACCCCCTTTAGTCAACCCCACCCCAGTTCATGCCAACGCTCAAGCCCAAAGCTGCAATCACCGCCCCCGCGTACCAAGCCCCACCTATTCCCCTGATAATGAACCATTCCTGCTTACTTATGATGGTAGTATAACTACGGGGGTATTCCTGATCAGAGGGTGGGGTGTTATCATTAGGGGTTGGGATTGAGCATTGAACCCTGTTAACTACCGTGAACCCCAAGAGCTTCAAAGGCGTAGCTTTGGGCTTGGGGCCCGAAACATTTTGAATGAAGGACTCCACGCCAGAACCGCCGGCGAAGAGGCACCATTACACCGTTGTCAAGACTGCAAGGGCTCAGGGTTTTAAGGTTTAGATCTAGACTTTTTGGTGCCTTGAATACAGGGAGCTTAAATTAGGTCATCGTGGGCTGTTCCCGTTTTGGCTCCGCGGGATGTGTGGGCTGTTCCACCTGAGCTCAAGGATGTTTCCTGACTTCCAAGGCCCGAAGGATCGAGTCGCAGCAGTTCCGGGCCGACGTGTAGCAGTTAAAAGCATACTGTAAACTTGAACCCTAAACCCAGCATTCTGGATGATTACTGGTGTTAGTGTTTTTGGGTCTCCTTCTCTGCTCCCTAAATGTCATCGGCCCCCCGAAACAGGTACCCTAATTTTGGGAAACCCCAAACCTTA